CCCCGAGGCGCGGAGAGCGGGTGAGCCTCAAGCGGCGGCTGGGCGCCTACCGCAACAAGCCTGCTGCCGACTACGATGACAACGACTGCCAGGATGGGTACTGACGTGTGCCCTACAGCCTTGTTGGTGCTGGGGGTTACGGGGGGGCGGAGGGGTTTAATTTATTTGCTATATAGCCTGGTTGACTTCTTCCTGAGAAGAAGCTGTGGATAAAATGGAGGCGGGTTTGCCAGGGCTCAACCTGGGCACACTACACAGGGCGCAAAGTGGGAGGTGACATCAGGCACAGGGAAAACACCAAACCGCAGCGAGAAAAGCCATTTCCTATATCAAACCAGAGACCAGCCAAGAGCTGTGGGTGCCAGCAGAGCGATGCTGCCTGCTTGCCACAAGGGCACAGTGGTGGCTTGGCACTCCAGGAGCTGTGCCCGGGCATGCTGGGCAGAAAGGTCCCTGCGTTCACCCCTTGTATTTACCTACCACTGCCCTAAGAGCGTCTGTCCGGACTCCAACGGGAGCTTTCTGTTAGCGCCACATCCTGCACATAAGGAAGAAAAGCTACCGCCGGTGTTTCCATGTGATGTGTGGGCTCAGCGGTGCATGAAGTACCACTTCAAGATGGGATGTATGTAATATTTTGTAAGAAATGTACAGAAAACTTTATATTGTATCCTTTTTGCATTTGTATTTCAAAGCTGAAATGTACCCTGTTGATTTCTTTAATTACCATTAAAACCATCAAACTCCACAGTGGTGTGGTTTAGGTGTTGCTGTTTTTCTCTCCCGGGGCAGCTGGGTGCTGCAATTTGGGGTCAGCCTGGAATGAGGGGGGGAGCAAAGGGCAGGCTGTTTGCACAGAGAACCGCAGCGTGCTGGGGTGAGGGGGAAAACAGAGGCTGAGTGGTGTTCCCACCCCCCCTATTTCCAGGCACCCCAAGGGCCACACCTGCTACTAGGTGGGGTGAAAAAGCTGGCTAATGACCCCAATGGGCTGGGCCTGGAGCTTTGCTATATTAGGGCCATCACTTGCTGCAATGCAAGTAAGGGTTATTCTGTTCTTCCTGGGGTGCTGGGAAGGAGATGCCCCAGGACATGGGGGTTCTCCCGGATCAGTGGCTGTGGTGGCCCCTGGTGCCAGGTCCCCTGCAATGGAGATGCTGGTGAGCAGGGGAAAAAGGGTTATCATCGGCTGGTATGTCATGGATAAAGCCTCTTTTACTCAGTGTGCCTTTTTTTTTTTTTTTTAATCTCCTACTAGCAAGCAAGTAAACAACACATTATTTGTTTAAAATCCCACCCACGCCCTTCTTGTTTACATGTGTATGACAAGCTGTACAGCACGAGTATCGATACTGATGGAGGAAGCTGTGGACTGTTGCATAGCTGCACAGTTTTGCAGCGTGGAGTTGTGGCCCTGCAGGGGACAGTCAGCACAAGGGGGTGTGTGCCTTCCAGCTGTGTCAGCGGCGTCATTGCTAGGCATTGCAATGCCGAATTCAAGAACCAGTAAAAAAACCTGAAATACTTTTTTTACTACTTATAACAAAACAGCACTTAATTTGTAGACTCTTTCCACCACTATAAACGCTGGAGCTGAACAGCTCCTGGGTTTTGTGGAATTTATGTTTTAACTCCCCCCCCCCCCCCGTGTACGCTTCCCCCCCCCCCCCGTGTAAGCTTTTTCTACTTCTGTATGAGGTCAGCTCTGAAACAGGCAGCTTCCCCTCGCTGCTGCTGCCCTGGGAAGGAGCCTCTTTGCTGACCCTGCCTCCTCCGCCCCACTGGTCCTCACTTCACAGTGGATACCTCAGCTGTGACTTGCCCCTTGGGTTTTGGACCCCTTGTATTAGCTGCATGAGGATTTGGGGAAGCTGTGACGGTGATGATGACTGCCACCAAAATACTGGTGCACAACCCCATTGCTGGGGTGAAAGGCAGCAAGCACAGGTTCGGCTGCAGTCCAGAGGTGCAAAAAGAGCTGGGTGACAGCTGTCGCTTTGGTTTAAAATTGTAGTAATGACGTGTTCGCTGGCTCCTCTGCGTGGCGGCAGGGTAGGGTGCTGCTGTGGACTGTCCCATGTCCAGCAAGCGGTGCTGCCGCTCAGGCAGCGGGGACGCGTTGGATGCCGGCTCTGCCGCGGGTGCATCCCGGGACCATCGGAGGTGGTGTTTGCGTGGGGACACCTGGTGGGGATGGGGACGGGGACCGGGAGGGGGGTTTTTTCGGGTCCCTCCAGGAAAGCAAGGGGTGCCCTGCAGCTCTGCAGTGAGCCCAGCCCATGGTCGAGATGTCACAAGGGTGGGATGAAACAGGCTCCGGGAAACTGCTTCTTGCAGTTGTTGCGTGACATTCTGTCCCTCCTCATCCTTGGGCAGGCTGCGGGGTTTTTTTGGGGCACTCGCCTTCACCTCCCCGTTACTCCCCCCCACCTGTTTTATGCACGGAGAAAAAAACTGGGTTGATTTGGCTTAAGTTTGAGCGGGAGGGGTGTGTGCCTTGCACACAGCACCCTGTGCTGGAGGGTGAGCCAGCTGTGCCCCCCCCGCACGTGGGTCCCCTTCGCGTGCCTTCCCAGGGCCCGGCTGCAGTTGCACGCACGTCCCAGCCAGCAATGCCCGAAACTTGCCTCCCGCTGGCTGGCTGCTCCCCAAAGGATGGGGAGCTGGGGGCTGCTGCCTGCCGGTCCTGCCAGGACGGCTTCCCACGGGACCGTCCCTCCCAGGCATCATGGGGGACACGCACCAGCCCTTTGCTAGGGAAACCTCCCGCCTGGCCGCAGGGAGGGAGCCACTCGTGGTGGCCCTGTGAGCGGACGTGTCCAGCACCTGGCAGCACGTGTCTGTGAGGATGGGCAGGTTTTGGGGGACACTGGTGACACTGGGCTGTCCCCATGAAATGCTGTTCATCTGTGTACAAGCAGGGACACCCCACTTGCCATCCAGAGGGGCTTAGTGGCAGGTCGTGCTTCACGGGGTGAGGTTTTGGATGGCCAGAGATAGCCTGGCCAAAAGATGCTCGCTTTGAGGATTTTAAGGCATTTTTAAGCAGCAGCTCATGTGTTTGGTTTCTGCAGCATGTACCTGTGTGTGGGGAGCATCCAAAGGGTGCCACTCTCTGCTCCCACTCTCTGCTCTCGGGCAGGCAGGAAAAGCAGCTAGGAAGGTCGACCACAGGCTCTGCTGTCACTGGAGGTGTCTCTGCATCCCATTTCAGGCTGAATGTGCGATGAAGTTGTAAGGGTCAGCTTGCCAGTGGGTTAGACAAGGACAAAAAATGCCCACGTCAATGTATGCATTCTTCTTTTCCATCCACATGGCGTTTTTTGTGCGTTGGGGGTGGTCTCTAGAGCTGAACGCAGTGATTTACCCAGGAATCAGCATCGGAGATATTTTTGGTCGCATTTGGGTTTGTGAAAACACAAGTCTGCATCATCTTAAAAGTTTCTGCTTGTTTATTTTTTTTGTCCTTTCCAAGAAGAAAAAAAAATCTATTTTTAATAAGTAGCCTGTGTAGCTGAAGCGGTGGGAGGCAGCAGTGACAAGCCCAGCTGCAGCAGCTCGACTTGGGGTGGCCATGGCACATAAACTGCATTTATTCAACTCCCTTATTTTGCTGGCTTTGCTGGGAGAAACAAAGAGACCCTCACAACCCACAGAACACCTCTCCATCCAGCAGCGGCTTTTTTGGCAGCGCAGCCAAGC